GGCTGGATTTTTCTCATGATTCTGATAAGAGAATTCAATAATGTATCTTGAATAAGAGAGCAACCCTCTGTGCTGCAGGTAGTGCCAGACAGAGATGGAAATATGAGCATACATACGGAAAACCAAAGAAAGGGCTTTAAAAGACCAGGTTTATGATAGGACTTCTGATACTTTGCTGGCACGGAGTTTAATGTCACTGGCGGTTTATCAAACTGATCTGAGCTGGCTAAGAAATTTCAATAAGTGATAAAGATACTTTGTGTTTGCCTTGTGTTATAAAAGCAGCTACAGTGCTTTGGCAATATTTCAGACGTTTTACACTTTTATCCCTTGACCTCTTCTTAGTTACTGTGACTGCAGTAGTGATGTATTTTAGAAGTTAGGTAAAATAATAATGGTAAGTCTGACTGACAAAGAGATGAATTGAGAGGAATGGAATTACCTCTAGTCCAGCATGATGCTGTGGAAAAGAAATTTTTGCAAGCAAACCTGATTTTGTTTCGAAACTACGCACTCAGCTTTGTAAGAGGGATGACGTGACAGCACAGATCTCCTGGCGGAAGAAACTAAGAAGGAAATGTTAGCACTCACTGTCTGTCCACGTTATGGCTGCATTAGCATTGCTTCTTACTGACACATTCTTAAAAGTTTTCCCGCCTCGACTGAAAGACATTTTGTCATCTTTTGCCTCTTTCCAGTTTTTTTGAGAGCAGACTTTTTTTGTGCAACAGATATGAAAGTGTAGTTTGGCAGTTTATATGCAATCCTATTAAAAAACAGCAAATGCCTTCTGTTGACTTATGACGTCTACTGGGGTGAATGCTGCAAAGAAGTAGACTTTCCAGTCAGCAAGTGAAAGGAGAGAAGAAGGTCTCTGCATGCTGGAGACGTGAGTTCACTACAGCCTTGTGTGACCCTGAGCTTGTGACTTCTGTGTTCAAGATTTCCAATTATAAAATGGTCCCAAGCAGCACTTCTTGAAATCACAGGAAAACGAATTAGTGTTTTATTACTAAACTGTTGGGACCTATTTTTGGCAAGTTGGAAGGTCAGCCTAAGTCTCTGTTGATATAGGAGCATCTATCTCTACACAGCAATTTTCTGTGCCAGACTAAAATGGGAGACAGGCTTTTTCCTAACGAAGTGCTTGAGTTTGTGATTAATGGTAAGGTCATGAGTGGTTCCCAAGGACTTGCATTTTGCAGCATAGGGCATTGGTTTGGATACATTACTTCCGCTTATTAGTGGTGCTGATAACGCATGATGTGTTGGAAGCATTTTTCTTGTGTTGGAAGGTAATTGTACAAATTGACACGTTGTCACATAAGCGTGTCTTGAAAGATGAATAAGACAGAGGCTATTGGTCTGTGACCTGTAATTCCCTGGGCTGCCAGATGCAGAGGAGATCACCCCGAGGAATATGTGGGGTGCCTTTTATAATCCTCAGATAGGGACCAGTTTACAATGGTTTAATCTCGTATCATCCAATGAATGTGGTGGAGGTCCTAATGCCACATCACACATTGAGAGGAAGAGTCCCAAGAGCTTAACTAACTTCTGTGGTGTATGTGCGGGTCCTCTCCCTGTGGAGTTGGGCTGTACTCAGTTATTCTTTAGAGCAGTTTCTCTTGCCCTGGAGAAGAAAGAGGTTAGAGATATTACCCTCATGGGCTAATGTGAGCTTTTGTGCATATTTGCTACAAATACAAAAAGGATTCACTTCGCAATTTGGAAAAGCAACTAATAAAGTTTCTTTGACGTAGCACAAGAGGCTACTGAGAAAAGTGGTTGGAGTCAGGGTTGCTGAAGTGGAAAAAGGGAATGCATTTTTGAGCAAGAGAGATATTTCAGCTCTCACAGGTGAAAAGATTTAAATACTGAATTTGACTACAAGATGGATGGATTCAGACCACTAAGTAGCAACATATGTTCTCTCTCAGGGCTTTTCATCTGTGGTTTACCAGCCATGCCACAACAAAAGCCTTTCGCTTTTCTGTGAAAGTGAGTCCATTTCTTAGTCTTCCCACAAAGCTGCATCAAGCGGTGCTTTCCTGGGCATGTGTTTAAGTTGGTTGGGACATGCAGTTCATGTGAGTCGCTATCTTTAACGAAGGGAAACAGAGGGATGCTGGTGCCCAAGTGCAACACTGGCCTGGGACAGTGCAAAGAGCCGGTTTCAGTTCTGGAAGCGGGAGGTTGCGTTGCACCTTTGCTCTGCCAGGGGTTGTTAAGTTGGGTGAGAAAAGGATGTATCAGCCTAGGCTTAGTGCTGCCTTCAGGCTACTGTGTGGCTTTCATTCAGTTTGCTCAAAATGTTCTGTTGTGCGAGCCAAAATAGAGCAAACTTGTCAAGTCTCTGTGTTACATCGGTCTCTCCTCATCTGAGGGCTTTGGAAAGGAACACTCATATGCCCTGAGGGATGTGGTTGAAAGTAACACTGCCACTTTGGTTGGGGGCAATGGTTTGGAGTGACTTGTCTTTACGTGCTGATAGATTTAGTCAAACATCCAGAAGAATGAATGGATTTTATTTAAAATATAAACATGGTACGTGATGACAAACTTTGTTATTACAAAATTCCCAAGTCCTTTGAGTGCTAACAAACAACTGCTATCTAGGATTTACTTGCCTCCAAAAACAGCTGGAAACCTAAACCAATTGAAAATATGGGTTTTGCAAGAGTAGGCTGTTGCATTTAGGATGTATTCAGTATGCACTGTGAAGTAGCCCAGAAGTAAGAAAATCCAACCAGTCTATATTCGCTTAACAACATATTGCAAAGTGACTGCTAGGTCACTTCTTACATCTCTAAACCATTATAGCTTCTTGCAGTTGCAGAATATAAAGGTGGAAAACTGTTTTTAGAAAAGGCTTCTGTCAGTTACAGCAGCACCAAAGAGGCTGCGCAAAACAACTTCATGTGATAGATAGCGAGGAAATGTCTGCAGGACTGCTTACTGAACCACTAGGAAATGGTTACCCTTCACATCTGCACAGATGTTCACATTTGTAAGATGTCTGCAAGCTTGCATGCTTTATTCAAGCAAATTCCCTTTAGGGTTCACTGAAAACTAGATATGGACTCAGAAAATATCTAACACCTAGATTAACGGACATGAGAGAAGACAAGGAAAGGCTGACATTTAAAGTAACTTACAGAACCTCAGTAATCTTATCTGACAAATGCTGTGAGCTAAATGCCCTACCTGATAGGGTATGTTACAGCTGTAGAGTGGAAGGCAACAGGGGACAAAAGTGAAATTAATAAATATACAGTATTTTTCACAGACATGATTCAAGATTAGCAAATATGCTATATACTTTTTTGACATTAATAGATAAAATGTCTTTTAAAACCCACAGTTGTACACAGTTACTTACAATCTAGACAGGAGCTTAATTATTTAGTTGCAGCTTGTTTTTTTAAAAAAAACAAAACAAAACAAAAACAAAACAACAAACCCCAACAATTTCCCTATGCTGTTCAAATTGGTGAGTAAGCCTAGATTGCATCAAGTGAGATCTAAACTGCCTCTTCTCTTAAATGCCATGGAGGCTGAGCCTGGGCAGCCCTCCCACAAGATACTGGCGCAGCGGTGGTGCACAGCTACCCAACTCTGAGCGTCCTTGGGGGTACTGCTTCAACAAAAGCTAATTGTGCTATTGCCAGGTGGTTCTGGATTCCACGTGATGGGAGAACAGGACAACAAAATTTATTTTCACTTGGCTGGGATCTGAAAGCTGATCTCGATATGAAAAATCGATGTCCTGTCTCAACAGTTGACACTGGAGTGCTTCCCCTATGCAGAGCTAGGACAAACAAGGCTGAGACTTATTCACAAAAATGTAGGATTTTAGTCTAGCAACTGGTGCAGGAGAAGCCAGGTGTTCCCAGGGCTCAGTTTAAAATCATCATCTCCACCCCCCTGTGACAAGATGGGGAAAACTGCCCCACCTAGGCAAGAGAGCTTGTATAGATTCCTCCTCCTTCAAAACCTCATACCATCAGAAAAGTTTACTGCTTTGCTATTTTCAACCAGTTGCTCTTGGCTGACTCAGGGTTGAACCAGCGAGGCACAGGCTCTAGGAAACTGCAGTTCTTGGCTTTTTGGACATTCATGGACAACACAGTGATATAGTCTGCACTTTTTTTTTTTTTTTTTTTTTTGGGTGGAGGGATAGGACACAAGGAGAGGTTCAGTTTAAAATCCTCCCTGGAAGCTGCAGGGGAGTGCTTAAATAAAGACCAGCTGAATCGAGTAGAGCTTGACCACATTTGTTCCATCCTGAAAAGGGTAAGTCCAGGTAACCCGACATTAACATAGCAGAGAGCACTATTTTTAATTGGTCAGATTTCCACAGCCTGTTCTTTCACACAGTACGCACTGGCTTCTGTCAAAAGTGGAAGTCCCCTTTTCCGGTGGAATATTCGGCAAAAACCAAAATGTTGATATCAAGTGTACTTAAAGAATGCATGTTCCCTTACGTTAGCACATTCAGTGCTTAACCCTGTCATAGCAACTCCCATTTTTGCAGGACTGAGTCAAGGTGTTCTACCTCGTTCTGTACACAATAATATGCAGCTGGTGAGATAAGACAACAAAAGGATGTAGAGAGAAAAGTGGAAAAGATCACAAATCTCACTTTGCAGAGAGTCCTTCAGTTTTCTTTTTTTTAGCTGCCATTCTTCACATTCAGTAGTTATCGTCAGGGTAAGGAGAAGCAGCAATAACTCCCCATGCTCCTGAAATGCGGTGGCTTCTGCTACTAACAAAGCCCTCAGTGGTGGTGACGAGAGACTGGGCACTCACCAGCTTTCAGCGCGCTGGCACAGAGTCGCTAGGTCCCAGGCTTACTGCTTTCCCCAGTGCAGGAGCTCAAAACACTGACAGACTATCAGAGAGGACTGTCCAAAGTGGTCAGCTGGCGTGGTGACACAACTGTTGTGTAGACACAGCCAGTGGCTGGAACAGAAATCCAGCGCATTTTGCTGTCTCTTGTGTTGAAGAAGCTTTTTTGCCATCTGTCTTGGCACACTGCAGAAATCTGTCACAAGCAATGCTGCCACTGAGATAGGGGGTGATGCTTCTCTTGACACATCTCCAGCTGCCCAAATTGTTGGCAGACTTTCCATTTAGACAGGTGCTGTAAAAACAAAACAACTTCTTTTTAGGAAAAAAAAAAAGAAAAAAAATGCCCCAGAAATAATCATGTCCTAGAGTTGTTTTTCTTATGTAACCAGTGGAACAAGCTGCAAAGCTATGGAAAAGATGTATTCATGCCGCTGAGAGAGAATCAGCCGGGGTGAAGCCCTGCCTCGATACCCGAGACACTGGGGGCCCTCTGCCCTTGTGCCACAGACTGAAAGTGCCTTTCCTTCTGCCGATGTAAAAAGTGCTCTCCTGCTAACTTCCCCCTCCCTTGTGAAGGTAGGTCAGTGTCACCTTTGGTTCGTTTTAAGCCATTTCAGAGAACGAGACACACAAAACTTATCTGTGGCCAAGGGAAACCAGCTTCCTGAGGCTCCTCTACAGGCAGCGAAGGGATCCCTCCAGAGAGCAATTCAGAATTGCTCCAGCTCTGAGTTTATCTTCAGTGGATCATCCTGCCCCACTGACTGTAATGGGTGTCTGGAGAGACTAACCCCACCGGGATGAAGTTACTCTTCTTCGCAACCTGCCTTCCCCACAGTTTCCAAAACCTGTTTCTTTGTAACAGCAAAGCTACCCTCAGTAGGCTCTTTTTGTTTTTGCAGTATTCAGGATTCCCACCCCCCATGAAACAATCTGACCTTCCTTATAAAGTGAAACCCACAGAAGCAGAAACACTTACATCAGTACTGAAAAGCAAAGTGCCGTGGCAGAGTGTCCCTGGGGGTGCGACCTCCACAGTGCCTTACTCCCCATCTACCACGCACAACTTGCTTGAAAATCTCAAATGATCATTGAATTAAGCTAGAATTTCTCCAAGAGCCCATCTTTTTGCCCCAAGGTAGTACCAGCTATTTCTAAGTAATTCCTGACAGACACTGGTTTCCTCTTTTGTTAAGAAAAAAAAAAAAAAGAACGGCAACAAACCTGGACTGGTGGAGACTTGACAGCCTGCACAAACTCTCTGCCTTGGTGCTCAACTACCACTACTCTTAGGCCTTTTTTCCTAACATGTAGCTTAAATCTCCTTTGTTTAAGCCTGTTGTGCCTCAAGCGCTGTGTCTGCTGGGTTAGGACAATAAATAACTTGTCCCATCCTCTTTAAGGACTCTCTGAAGAGGGTTGTTATTGTGTCCTTAATCAGCTTTGCTGTCTCCAGCCTAAACAAATATAATCTTCCATCAGAGCCCACATTCCCTAGATCATTCTAATTTCTCTGGTATTGGTCCAAGTTGCCCTCAAATTGGGATGCCCAAAAGATACTGCCTTCCATGCCTTACATGGCTCTCTTGGCAGAAAACACCTCTCAGCGGTGGGACAGTTTCTGATAGCAGCGAACAACCAAAGCTGCTGTCCCACCTCCTCTTCCTCAAATGGTGCAGAGACATGCCAAGGAAAAGATAGCTTCTGGAAGGCAAGTGTCTTTGTTTTGTTGTTAATGAACAAATAACGCTACAGCAGCCTTCAATATAAGATAAATATTTACTCCTATTTACATCACAGAGGTTTTTCTACTCATGGACTAAGTCCAGGGATTTAATAAAATAGGGTCTAGTATAAGTAAGTCCAGAGAAGAAAAAGCTGATCTTAAGTGAACTGCTTCTGTTATATTAATGCAGCTCACAGGAATGAAAGGAGAAATCTATCTTAAGGAGAAAATCCATCCTCCTTTCTACATTATGCTCTACAGGAAACAGCGTAATGCCTGTTTGTTGTTTAGCAAACACAAATGTTGTGATTCAGGCTGGGGTTGCGTGATGGGTCTGGAAAATAACTGACCGTTAACCCAGTTTGTATAACCAACAGAGAAGTTCTAGAGAAAGTTTTTTAATTTAAGCGTTATTTTGCTTCTGCTTGATATTATGAATTGGGTACATTCACAGCATCTGCTAGGGCAAACTATGCTTTCGCTATTACAGTTTTGGTGGAACCACAGTATTTTCTGCCTGTTCTGCAGAGACAGCCAGGCAACAGTCATTTGCTTCAGTAGAAACTACCAAAGGAGATATAAAATAGGCAGATACTTCATCCTCTCTGTACTCTCTCAAGTCCCCTGTGCTGAGTTTGTTTTTCCAAATTTGTCTGGGATTTTTTTGCCCTGTTTCTATTTTTCCCCCATTATAAATGATAAATGAATTTGTAAACCAGCTGCAATATTGCATTCTTGCTTATAAAAAATATGAACATGTTGAAGGTCTAAACTGCATTTTTTTTTTCTTCTAGAAAAGGAGAGTGCTTAGTACTTTTTAAATTGGGTGTATACGTGCTCAGGTTCATAGACAAGAGGCATATGATGTTCCTGTATCCCAGCTAAAGACTTTCTAGGATATGGTGCCTAAAAAGGCAGAGAACAACCATTTGGTGATGGGCACTGACATGATATGAAGTGATAAATGGTCAGTGTTGTCCAGACTTGAAAAATGAGCATTTAAAACAGGTTTTCCAAGTTTGGCTCTGCCTGGTTTATGGCATAATCCTCCTGTCTTGATGGCAACAGTAGCTGCAGCACAGTTGTAGAACAGGAGGAGAAGGCAGCTTCAGACTGTACGCTTTGCATCCCCTGCCGAATTGTCACGTCCTTTGGCCTGAACTGTTGAAGGAACTTCTGGGAACTGAGACTCTCAGGCTGCCTTTGGCAACACTTACGGAGCTCAAGGACAGGGCTGAGAGAAGAAGTAGGGCTACCACTTTACATGCTTGAGTTTGTAACATCCAGCAAGTCTAATCCAAAGGCTTTGTGCTGAACTTGAGTACTGAAGCTATGAAGTTAAGTCACTCTTGAGACAAATACTGTAACATATTTTTAATACTTACAGTTGAGTTCTCCTTTGTCTTCATTTGGTTGGACATCTGTTGAAACAAATGCACCGTTTTAAACATGTAGGATAGATAACTATAGTCCTTAGGCAAACGGGATTGGACAGCAAAATGCAGTCCATACTCTATTTGTTTACAATCTAGGTCACCATTTCAGCAAGGATAGATTTTTGGGCTTGAAGCAACAGCCCTGCTCCATGTTTTGGGACAGAGTCCTGCACCGCTTTTGGGTTGTTTGTGAAGGAAGGACATGGCTCCTAGCACAGCTACTGCAGATGTTGGGCAAGATCACTACCCTGCTTGTTCCTGCTCTTTTCTGAAGCCCCTGGGCTTGCTAGCCACAAGGAAGAGGGCATGGATTGAAAATGTGGTTTGTCCTTCTCCATGAAAAGTGTGCTTGCCCCTGCTCCCTTCTTAGATGTTAGCTCTTATATACCTGCAAAGTGGCTTATAGAAGTACTCAGATCCATCAGCAGACTGAGTCTGGATCACACAATGTCTTTCAGAGCTACCTTTTGTTCTGTCTTGCCAAGCATTGAAGAGGCCCGCGCGTGCAAATGCAGCAATACAAGCATACGCGTGTATAACATAGGGTGACAGTGAGACATGCTTTATTTCTAGCTTGTAGAAAGCTGCTTGATCCCAGTGGGATCTTGAACACTTAATTGCCCAGCCAGTGATTCTAAAGCTCTCAGGATTGACTCATCCTCTGATTTCTGCTTTGGATTGTGCTAAGCAGAGACAGCTACTGACCCCAGTCCTGTTCCATGGAGGAACATCCTCTCCATTTGTCCAGAAACAGCCTGCAGGGATCACAGCTCAGAAACTATGGCCTGAACAGGCACAAAGTCTGAGTTACTCTCGCATCCAGTAGGTAACTCCTGTAAGGTTCAGATGCATTACCAGAAAACCATAAAGAATAACATGTTCTGGGGCACTATATGTCCTCCCCAGGGAACCCCAGGATTTTCATAACAGTATGATTTGCTGCTGCTGTTTGCAGAGAATTTACTCGTGCCTTCTAGCAATGCTCTGGATGACATTAAATATTTTGGCAAATGAAAAAGAATTCTTCAGATTGGGTTATGCAAATGAAGGGTCTCATTACCTGTGTAGGACAGTAGTTTAGAGGACCTCCGTCTCCACAGCCAGCAGGTTAAACCAACTAGAAGACCTATCAGAATGACAATGGAAATGATGCCAGCTGCTTGAGCACCTTGTCCATTTTTTTCCAGGTTTTTGTTTTCTGTGCTAGAACCATTGCTTTGCTTCTGCTGTGTGTCTAGAATAAAATAGAAAAAGGATGTAATAAGGTGTCAATTTTCACATTTCATACCAGGCAAATATCTGACTGCGTTTTACATGCACAAAAAAATTCTGAAAGACTAAATATTTGTGCTATTCATATCACTGTGTTTCTGGTGGTATTCCTTCTGAGCAAGGCACATCTCCAGCTTACAATGTCTACTGATACAATGCCAGTTTATTCCTCCCTGTTCTCATACAGCATGCATCCCTCTTTCTTCCTTTTTGTTATTCTTTCCTGCCAGCCTTGGGAGACGGTATGTTTGAGCTTGTATCTAGACTCAGTTGAAAATAAATCTATACAGAATCTATAATGTAAATCTGATGGTATTCAGTAAAGTGGGTGAAAACCTGTTTCCCTAAAGTTAGTGACAAATTTCCACTGATTGCTGCAAACGGAAGGTTTCAAGTCACATCTCTTACTCTTTCAAGTATGGTAGTGCTTTTAGAAACCAACAAAAAATAATAAGATGAAGGTCTTTTCCCCCAGAATACAATATGACAGAATACCATTAGGAAACTAATGACAAGGTTACTTAGTTTTCCTTTTTAATTTGGGATGACAACAAGGGTATGCTATCATACAAACACTCTACTGTGCAATTTTTCCTTGTGCACACAATTTTTGTTCCTGGAAATAATTTAATCTATATCCCCTGGCTACATTTGTAGGATCAGTGTCCTTAAGTCCAGAGTATGTGATTCCTTGGTGTGTTCAGGTAAACTAACTGTGGGTATCCAGCTACAGTTATGCAAACAATCAAACCTCCTTGCACCAGGGTGCAGAAACCCGTGCGAGAGAGGTGTGGTGGGAGGCAGGACCAGGAACAGCAATGAGACTGAACAGCCACCTCCAGATAAGCTCTCCCACTCCAGGTAGCTTCTCTACACAGCTGTTTGGAAATCATGAAATTCACTATTGCTACTATAGCTATAACTTTTTTAATAGCTTTTTTTTAAGTAGCTTTCTGTTTTTGTGAAGAGTGGCTAAATACTTGTTTTTACTATTGATCACTCATATCAGAAATAAAAAGCTTCTTATACTTGTGCTATTAAGTGTATTGTTCTACTGGGCTAATATTACCTGTTTGCTACAGGCCTACTTTATATAGCGCACTGTGTTAAACTGAGTTTTGGAGACTGAAAACAGAACTTCGAAACTAGGCAGAGTAAAAAGCAAGTCGGGTAGGGGTTCAGGAATTGTGGATCTACTGTATGGTGCCCCCTGAAAAATAACCTGACTCCCCACGTTGTCATGCTCCTGAAGAACTGAGGGGTAAAGCCCAGTGACTGCCTCGGATGCAAGAGCTTCTCAGTGCCGTTGTCATAACACACTTGATGGGGTGTTCACTTCAGTGTGGAAGAAGTCAGAAGTAAACATAAAGTCCACGGCTAAGCATAACTAGCTTGAAACAACAACTGTGCTCTTCTCAGCACTTTTGGGAACTACTGAATTAATGCGTACCCCTCGTTAGTGCCTATCTACAGAGACACGCTGGTTGATATATCTGCTATCTGGAAAACATGAAGTATCATGAAGGGACTTACAGTTGGCTGACAGATTTTCCTGCAGTATTTTATTTTCTATGGAGCACTCTATCTGCATGTTAGAAGTGGCTTTAACCATCAGCGTGCTAAAAACGCTGTAAGTGCCATCGGCATGGGGAGTGATCTTTAGCTGTGATGGAGGCAGGTGGCTGTTGTCCGTTTTATTTATCCAATAAACATTGGGCTCTGGGTATCCATTGCCAGACTTGCAGCTGAAAGTCACCTCCTCTCCTGTGCTGTCACTGTTTTTTATCGGTCCACTGAGTATTGGTTGGCTATAACTAGCTGGAGAGCAAGAGAAAAAGAAATAGTCATCGACATGTTGAAACGTATCGAAAAGACAAAGTTTTGATGTGGGTTCTGAAGCAGAAGTTCTGGGTTTCACACGACCTTCATGACTTGCAAGGGAAACACCTGCAAGTTTGGTATGTAAGCCAGAGAGCTGAGAGAATTACTGGAAGGGCAGAAGGCTGAAGCCAAACTCAAAGGAAGAAAGCAACTTCTTAAACTGCTGTCACCCAGTCATGTGCAAGAGCCCTTATATTAATGAAAACCAAGATGAAAAAAACCACACACTGGATAAACAGTCGTTACAGGTATTCTCCCAGTTTTAGATTCCCTATCTGTAACATTTAAATTAAGCAGGCTTCATTTCAGCAAAGGGCTGAAGTATGTTTCAAAGTTAAGGGCATGCTTAAATGTAATTTTGAAATGGCACGAATTTGAAAAGCTGGAATGAGAATTTGGGCAAATATGTGCAAGTGATACAAGTTCTTACCAGCTAAACTGAGAACCACTTCTGCCTGGTGAATCACTTTGTTATATTCAGTTTTCTGCAGTACTACACATTTGTACGTATGTTCATCACTCTGGCTGACGTTTAGTAGTAGCAGAGAAAAATCGCCATTTTTCAATCTATCCCAGAATAACCGAGTCCTGTTTTTAAAGTGAATACACTGTTCACTTTCGTTGTCTTGACCAGAGATCAGTGCATGTACAACTGAACACTCTTCTTGATCATCAGCTATTTGCCAGTATACCCGTAGATTTTTTAAGTGCAATTCTCTTCCTCGATAAATGCAACTCAGTGTAGCATTGTCTCCAAGTTTACTGACGATGATCTTCTCCTCCAGTGCAATAACTACAAGATTAAAAGAGAGAGAGAAAAAAGGGAGGTTATGTGGAAAAAATGTCATTCTTTTCAAGTATATTCTTTTCAAGTATATTCTATATTCAAGTATTTTCAGTATTACAGGCAGGTGAGTGTGCTCACTTCATAGTCATTCCTACCTCCTGACCTGCCGGTGGCTAATTCTCTCCGTGTCTGTTTGTCTGTACATTTTCCAAAGGGGCCTTTTACAATATAAAGCCTTCTGCTTATTTCTTTCTCCGAGGACCAACCAGTCTAAGCACTCCCAGCCCCATGGATACCTGCGTGTTTCGCTTTGCCAACTGACTGCAGACACGTATTCAAGTCCTAATGCTTTAATAATCACTTTTTAATTAAGAAAAATGTCAAATAACACCAGGTTAATCACAAGAAGTGGAAACACTGATAAGAAAGAGTGCTACCATTATTTTGAGACCCAAAAAATTAAAAAGGGGAGTAAAAACAGTGTTTCTCTAAGTGGACATGTCATAGCGATCACATTTTATTGCTACCATCGGTGTTACCCTCTTAACAAATATACCCAGCTGGCAAACCAGCATGTCCAGATACCTCCAGTGACACATTCATTAGACATTTACAACCTCTCATGCCCACTTGAGGTAGGCCAGCACAGTATCTGGCTTTCAGGGCGCTTTTCCTGGCCTCCAGACGTGAGAAAGGCAACCTCTCCTCCTGGTGAGCAACGAGAAGGCGTGAGCTGGCTGATGAGCAATGCAGAAGGTGCAGGTCAGCTACTCCGAAAGGGCTAGGGTGGCTCTGACCGCAGCCTCCCTGCTGGGAGGGATGCATCACCTCTCCTCCACTCCAGCAGCCAAAACCTCTCTGGTGCAACTGGTTGCTGAGACCAAAGCAGTGTGCACGTTGTAAATGTCAGACTGGGGGGTGAGGGGGGGTCAGGCATGGGGTTGGATGGGAGAGATTACAGCTGGGTGAAGGGATTATGCAGGTGGGTGAATTAGGGAAAAAAGATGACGGAAGTGAGGGTTTGGAAATGTGGAAACAGTGCATGGTGAGGTGGGAGGGAGGAGGCAATGTTAAAGGGGGACGTGTCTTGGTGTTGGTGCACTGGACTCAGAAATAGCTCATCTACGCGTCTGAGTTGGGCACCCTGGCTTAAAAATACCACTGAAGCAAATGTAGTACTTGCAGGGAGGAAGGCAGTACGTTCTCCAGGTCCTTATCCTCTGCTGGGTGAGATGAGAAGTAACAGGCTTGAACTGCAACAAGGATACTGCAGCTCAGACTTTGGGAAACCACTCGTAGCAGCAGGAAGAGTGATACTCTGGAAAGCATTGCCTGGGAAGATGGGGGCACCTCCATCACTGGCGTTATTTAGGAACAGGCCAGGTAGCATCTATTGAAACTGAATCTGGTACGCTTTGTCCTGATTTTGGGGCTGGGGACTTTCCTTGATGACTTTGTTGAGGTCCTTCTCAGTGATTAAGCAAGAACAGAAGAGAGATAACTCTGAAAACATTTAAATACCACCAAGTGATGTCCTTTAACCCTACCTTTGTTTTGAAAGGGATTTTTGGAACAGTAGTAAAAGAGTTACTAGTATTGGGTACTTGATACAGTGATGTATAATTCTAATCACAATACGAGTATGGGCTTTATCCAGGCATGTTAGATCTGCTTATCAACAGCCCTTATTACCCCACTTCTGAGGCCTTTTGTTGGCAGAGATAAATATGCAGGGATGTCTGTAAAGCAAGCAGAGCAACCTAAGCAAAAGCATCCACAAGGTCCTTTGCTATTCTCCCTACTGAAAGTGATAGAAACTGATTTTTTTTTTCTTCTTCTTTCCCTGATGCATGTCACACTGAGGAATTCTGAAGTGTCTTGCTGAAAACACACAGATGTTTATATTGTACATATTACAAATACTCTGTGTATTTGGCCAAACACATTAAGGGAGGGCAGCTTCATTTTCAACTGAAGGGTTCTGAACTTACCAGCTCTCGGGATATGAAGGAGCAGTAACAGAAATCCATAGCTAAAATAAAAAAGCAAACAAGAGTGTTACATGATACGCTTTAGCATCACTGTTGTTTACATAAGCGCTAAACCCAATATTGATTGTTTCAGTATAGTAGCAGAAGTAAGTAAATTAGGTACTGCTACTATGTAATGTCCCATTAAGTATTTGCATTTTTGACAGCTGCAAAACTTCTGTTCGAACGACATAACTCTGTGGGTGGGTGGCCAAGGCCATGAATAGCAGTAAAACACACTAATATTGGAATCAGAGCAGAAGGCATGAAGCTGGTGTTGTGCCTGTCTTTCTTGTGAAAAATGAACCATATAGACTTGCTGGCCCTGGAAGATATCTGGATCACTGGGAAGGAACACAGCTGCACAGGCCTAAATCCAGGTCAAAGCCCTGCATCCCACTGTTTTGCTGAAACTCGATGAGTTACAGTTTTATTGGGTTAAAGGATGACAAGCAGCTGACCATGCTGCCCACTGTTTTGTGCGCTCAGTAAAAATGTGTAAACAGGAAACGTGCTGATAGCAGGGAGCTGCGCAAAGGTTTTGCTGGAAAGAATTTGGCATGTTTGATTACTCTGGAGGGGCAAATCTATGCAGGAATTTCCCAAGGGAGTTACACCTGCCGGATGCTATATAGGAAAACCCAGTTTAACCTATCTATAAAGTCCAGGTGATTTAACTCTCGTCCCATAGGGCTTTAAGAAAGATAAACGTGCAGCGCTTTCCTAACAGTTACTTTAAAATAGCCTTTCATCACCATGCCTAGCTACACATTGTGCTCTCCTTCCACCAGACCGCAGTGGGAAAGGAAAGGAAGATACTGGAAAGGTTTTGGAATGGGAGCTGTGTGGCTACAGTTGCCCACCTTGATATTGCCCCGGGTGCAATAAGGTTGCAAAGCTGAGCCGATGGGCAGAGGGACACGAGCACCTGCTCATGCCGTTTCCCCAGCTCGGTTTTGCAAGCGAGCAGGACTGTGAGGCCACGCTGCCCGGGTGCAGCTTGGTTCCCTTCCCCAGTTGTTCTCAACTCTCAGCCAGGTCCAACACTGAGCCAAGGGCTGGGGCAACGGGGAGAGCTGCCCCCAGCAGCCCATGTCTACCCAGGAGCGAGCTCCAGGGTCTCTCAACCAGTCTCCTTGCCTTCTTCCCTCCAAACCAACCCTGTCCTGCCTGACCCTCCTCCCTCCAAGCCCTAACCTAAGCCTACTCCCCCAGCAGCCGTTTCTCACCTCGCTTTTCCCCCATCAGCTGTGCTTTACACCATCCCCTCTCTCTTCCAGGCCTCCTGCCCTTTCCCCACAGCTCCTGCCCCTTTGTCCAGCCGAGCATCAGGATTCGTCCGCCATCTCCCAGGCACAGCATCGCTTCTGCCCAGCTTTACTTCTACCAGCTGCCTGGGCACAACTTGGGTCTCCTCTGCTGCTGCGGAGGGTCTCTAATTCCCACCAAGAAAATTATGATCGTCCCAAACATATTTGGCTTCCCACGGAGAAAGCAGAGGACGTTCCTGACACAAAATCTACCTCCACTTGAAGTCCCATCTCCAGAGAATGAGATGGGGAAAGTTTAGGGAAGAGTCAGTCTGAACTGTATTACTTTTATATGAAGAAAACACTTTCTTTTCCTTTTCTGTGTCCTTTGAAATGGTTTCATAGATTAGGTTTCAAAAGTTTAAGTGGATGCCCAGAGTGGAACATTTCTGCTCTAACATTTATTTTAGTAAATCCGCAATCAGCCCTAAAGTAAGTCTCCCAAGTAATGGTACCTAAACACTCCAGGGAGGCAGCTCTGCCCTGTCTCTGGCAGTGACTTTTGGTGGCTTTTGCACACGGTCTTGTGTTGTATTTCTGTCGTATTTGTACGCTGTGCAGGAGCCATCACTTTTGTGCCAGGCTTGTAGAGGTCTGTCTTGACAAGCTCACCTTAATGTAGTTCTTAATCATTCTTAATCCCGTGGCTGTTTGTTTTATTGTTCCCTGCCCAAGTTAGAAACTATGGATATAGTCAGTCATTTGAATTAAATAGAGAAAAACAGTTCTCTGATCTTTATGGGACTCTTCAGGGGATTTCCCATGGCAAGCATTCGTTGATGCCAACAAACATTTAGCTAGTCAGCCAGATCTGATTCTCTAATGTATGTATACAAAGCACGTCTTGATTTCTTATTTTAATAAATGATGTCACAGTTAAGACTGGACGGATCTAGAGACGCTCATCCTCTTACTTGGAGGAGGTTGCAGCTGTGGTAGTGTGGGGGCAGTGTCAGCCCACTATGTTCCCCTGGAATAGCTTTAATGCCAAGCTCCTGTTGGAAAAAGGGAGAAACGCTCTTGCCTGCAGAGAAACCTCCCTTTTGCCCCCTGTGTACACTCAGCCCCTGCACCCATCACACTGGCAGTCAGCTCCACTAAGCGCAGCTGTAACTGCATTAGTTTCTTAGGTTCTCTCTCTCCTGTATTTATTTGTTATAAAATATTTTAATTCTTTAAATTTTTTTTTCCTTTTCCAATTCTTTCCCACACCTTCACTTTCTATATGTTTTTAAAGTGTCATGTGAAACGGGAGAAAGTTGCACTTCCTCTTTCATACATTCTTGTTTGGTGAGATTATTCTTCCTACCAGCATCTCAACTTTTTCATGCGCTATTTATTTTAGAGTCACGGGATGTTGCTGTTCTGGCACAGACTAGCTGGACAAAAGATGTCCCGATGCTCGCGGTAACAACTCGGGGGCTTTTGCTCGGCTGGTAAGATTCGCTTTATCCCCTAACCTCGTAGCGACGTCGCTCTCCTCGCATCGGCAGGTGCCCTACAGAGGTTTTCTGTGAAGCTTTTCTAACGCCTGCCCTAAGGCAACGCTCACCTGGGCCACAAA